TATGGACATCTTTGAACCTACACAACGGGCACCACAGGCCTGGCGCGTTTTTTTTGCCACCTCTTGTAGTTCACCCGCACCAGCTCGCTCTCTCGCTCTAGGGTGCGATAAAAAATATATATATTCCAACCTCGGTGGCGGCTAACCTGCTGTATCCTTCCGCGCGTTTTCCCTTTCAACAATCTTCGCCGCAGGGCTACAAGTTCAACATGTTCTACCCTGACCTGATCGATCGCGGGGATACCCTCAAGTATTTCTTGGAGAAGGTGGATCACCCCGGCTTTGCCTTGCCATCCTCCGATTCCACGCCGGCCCTCCGTACGAAGACGTCGCTCTCAAGGTAATTTAGACTATCTACGGTAACTACCGTTCGTTGTGAGTCATCGCACGGTCCGGAGCCGTCGCACAGGGGTGCGATGCAAAGTAAATGTCTAAATGATTTGATTCGATTTCTGCACAGGGTCCGGGAGTCGCCGAACAGGGGTGCGATGACTCGAAACCTAGGGTAGTTGAGTGCCAGCAATTCCGGGGCAATTTCCGCCCCTCCCTGCAACCATGCCAGTGTTGGCATGCCAGCTCTGCTGTATGGGTAGTAGATAGGTCATCGTCGCGCACCACACGTGGAGGTACGAAGGAAACGAAACACATTGGTGTTTCCAAGGATTGTTTCCACGGGCACTTCCTGATAATATCGCCTTCAGGGTTTACTCTTCGCCTGCTGGCTTGTCTCGGGATTCTGTCGCGGTCTTTCCTACTCCTACACTGTTGTAGGCCGAGAAGAAGGAAGGGTAGTTTGTAGAAGAAGTGTATCGCAAGGTGCGGCAAGTGTTGGTGCTGCGTGTGTCGAGTACTGTAGTCTTACAAGGGGCTCGGCCCTTTGTTGGCTCGTGGCGCGCCGTTTGTCCGAATTGCGAAAGGTCTGCCAGGGCATTTTCTGGACTTATTTTCGGTCTCGAAGCATTGTTTGAGCTGTAAGGTGTTGTCTCGTATGTATGTGCGCTTACTACGTAGAGGCCGCATGGCAGTAGTACAGGAGGACGCTTTGGCGGAAACGATGCCTACCTTCTTGAACCCTCGAGACACTTCGATGAAACAGATTATGCAACCTACCGGTGAAGCTGTAGATGTACTCTAAGCAGCCCGTTAGCGTCATTGATACATACATGAACTGTAGATGCACAACGCGTGATGTTGTGGATCCCACCCTACCAGGTCCCCAATCCCGATCAGTTGATTGGGAATTTCGGAGGGCGTGTTGTGTGATCGCGTTGTGGGAGGGAGGTACGTAGCCTTGGTTTGCGTGGCCGTATCTGTTTTGTCTACGCTGCTTCCTTTCGTCCATCCAAACCGCTCGTCCATCCATACCGCTGCGCGCCTGACGCTGGTCCCCGAAACTCTACGGCGCGCTACCTCCGTGCGTGCGTACAGCAGGCTAGCACCACCTGCGACCTAGTTTTTCATGCCTGCTCACGATGACGATGTATGCGTGCTGTTGTTCACGAAGGAAAGGACGAAAGGGACGTAATTTAATGACACAAAGACTACGACAGCGTTGAAACATTAGCTAGAACGATGCAGGGGTACAAGTAGCAGTGAGAGGCAAGCGTACAAGTCAGAGAACGCCGAAACCGCCCGTAAAAACGCCCAGTCAAAAGGTTCCATCCGAGGCTTTGTTCCTCCTCGGTACATCCCGCCGCGGTTCTACGACAACTCCGGTACACCACCACAACCACCACCACCCCGCCCTCCGCACTCCCGCACGAAAAACGTAGAAGCTGATGAATCCGTGACGAGGCGAAGAAAAGATGAAAAAACGCTGTTTTCACAGGATCCACGAACGGCCCAGAGATGAAATCGAGGTGAGCAAGTACTCGCAGCTTCCACAACTGCTGCCGTGGACGTCGACCAGCCAGAGATCGGACGGGAGGCAACTAACTGCTGTTCGATTGTATGACGCAAAAAAGGCAGGGTTCGTGGTTGTTGGTGATGATCATCTGAACAATAATGGGCTGGCTGATGAAACCAAAACACGACTGGCCTGTCCGTGCATATTCCACCACAGCGACCGCAACACTCCTGTCACCCCTGTCAAACACAGCAGCGGTGATTGGTCCAACACGACTTTCCCGTGATAGCTTTTGGCGCTGGGTCTGTCTCTGGAACATTTTCGTCTCCGCATGCATTGTAGACTATGCATGAACGCAGGAACTTATGGGCTCTTTTTGATGGCTTGGACAGATGGAGCTGTTGTTGTATTGTGGAGACCTTTGGTCTGGTACTACACCACCAGAGGGAACAAAGCCGAGCAGAGAGCAGAAGTATTGTTGTGTACACAAGGGAGTCCAATCCCCGAGGCTGCATGGGGAGATGAGAGCAGAGTGGCGTTGGGTTGTGGTCGTTGCCCGAATTGTTCCGATTTTTCCGCGCGAAATGGGTAGGTCGTGCGTGCGGAGGAAACGTGCCCAACAGCTTTCTCCATCCCACCTGGCAACCTACTCGCGGTATGGTGTATGGTACCACACGGTTACCAGGTGA